AACAGCAGCAATAACAGCAGCAATAACAGCAGCAACAACAGCAGCAATAACAGCAGCAATAACAGCAGCAATAACAGCAGCAACAACAGCAGCAATAATAACAGCAATAACAGCAGCAATAACAGCACTCACTATCTCGAGCAGTCCTGCACGTAGGGCTTTCTGGAAGTGCTGGCGCCGCTCCTCCGTAGGGCGGTCGCGGTATCCTGTATACTTGACCTGTGGAAACCAAACATGTTTTCTTTATTAACATGTAAATTAAATGCTAATTACACTGTTAGAAAAATTACCGTTAACGGTATTATACCGGCGTTTCAGTGGCCGGTCGGCACGTGAAAAGAAACACTGTGTCGCCGTTTTTTTCTTATTTAACACTAGAAATCCGTAAAACATCTGATAAAAACGGCGAAACAGTTCATTTTTACGGGGCGACCGGCCACTATAGAACGCCAGTGGGATCGTTTTTTTACCGTTTTTTCTAACAGTGTACTCGCTTATTACATGCTAATTACATACTAATTACACGCATAATACAAGCTAATTCCATACAAATTATATTTATTATTGCTCCCACTAAAAATGAATGTTAAGTATAAGGCATAAGAAAATATATATACTTTAATCAAGTAAGGCGAGTGTGGCGACCCCTGCGACAGAAGCCTGGGCGTCGCCTAAATTTTGTTACGCAGCCCCACACGTTATATACGTATCCTGGATACGTGCCTCTCTATATATAACAGCTTCTAAATATTTATTTACGTTGAACCCTCAAAAATATTTATAAACGATTAATTAATATACGTATTAATAAGTTTATTATTTTTTATTAATAAAGGACTGAGATTAAAATAAGTACTGTTAAGCGAATTAATTATTAAGTATTCTGGATACTTAAACCAATAATTGAGTATCCTGGATACGCTCCGTCCCAGTTAACTTAGACGAATAATGTGTTCTGTAGATTAATATTGCTTAATAAATTAATTAGTATTAAAGTATGGGATTAAGATAAGAGTTATTAAGCAAGGAAATTAATTATTAAACTTATTATAAAATTATTATATCCTGTGTACTTGTCATGTCGTGTATTTTCTGTATATTGACATGGTATATTTGTATATATGTTGTATACGTGTATTGTCTGTATGTTGTATACGTGTATTGTCTGTATGTTGTATACGTGTATTGTCTGCATAATGTATACGTGTATTAACTGTCTGTATATTGTTTACGTGTATTGTCTGTATTTTGTATACGTGTATTGTCTGTATATTATACATGTATATTATCTGTATATTGTACATGTATATTATCTGTATATTGTACATGTATATTATCTGTATGTTGTACTTGTGTATTGTCTGTATATTTAATGTTTCAACGTTAGTGCAACTGAAGGTTGGCTGGTTCACACAGAACACAGGCAACACAGCCGCGCTCACACAGCATTCAAGTGTACCAGTCAGCACACAAGTGTTCCATACAGACGCTCTTGCTGGGACAACACAGCCCACACAATTGTGTGAGTGTACACACAACACACACAGGTGTGTGAGTGTAGGTGACAACACGAGTGTGTGAAGCAATAAACATAGGCAATAATACAGGCATCAATACAGGAATAATACAGATATTAATACAGGCATTAACATTAAACTAACTCTAATTTATTTAACTTTATTTTGAATTTTAATATATTATATATAATACATAATAAATAATTATATTAACTTTATAATTAAAATAATTACAAATAACGATATATCACAATAATTTTTTTTTAATCAGAATAATTAACAGAATAATAATAATTAATAATAAAAAATCATTTTTTTTAAATCACAACCCAGAATAACTTGTATAATTAAGTATAGCCTCTTTAATTTTATTGTGTGGACAGCTCCTGTGTAGAATTCATATTGTATAAATAGCTCCTGAACATGAACGAATAGCTCCTGTATATTGTATATATTAACTGTGTAGAACAGCTCCTGTATATTGTATATATTAACTGTGTAGAACAGCTCCTGTATTGTATTAACTGTGTAGAACAGCTCCTGTATATTGTATGTATTAACTGTGTAGAACAACTCCTGTATATTGTATATAATAGGGAGGGAGGGGGTTATAGGTGTAGTTTGTTTTGGGGTAAAATGAGTAATAGTGAGGGGGTTACGTGAAGAGGTAATAGTGAGAGAGTAACTGTGAAGGGGGTAATAGTGAGGGGGTAACTGCGTAGGGGGTAATAGTGAGGGAGTAACTGTGAAGGAGTAATAGTGAGAAGGGTAACTGTGAAGGGGTAATAGTGAAGGGGTAACTTTAAGGGAGGTAATAGCGAGGGGGTAACTGAGGGTAATAATGGTGTTATCATAATTGATTAGAAGGCTAGTAAGAGGAATGGGGTAATAGTAATAATATAATAATAGTAAGGAGTACTAATAGAGTAATAGTAATGAAGGTAACAGGAGTAATGAAGGTAATAATGGTAACGGGGGTAATAGGGGTAACTCCGGGGCATTCAATTCCACCGCAGCCCCAGGCTCCCCAGAAACAAAACCCCGGGGGGAGGAGAGGGGTTATAAGGGGGGTTGGGGAGGGTTGGGATGGGGGTTATAAAGATGTGTATAAGAGACAGGGTGATGTCTAGGTGATGTCTAGGTGATGTCTAGGTGATGTGTCTAGGTGATGTCTAGGTGATGTCTAGGTGATGTCTAGGTGATGTCTAGGTGATGTTTAGGTGATGTCCTGTCTCTTATACACATCTAGATGTGTANTGTACTATACTACTATATATATACTATAATACCATGTACTATACTACTATATATATACTATAATACCGTGTACTATACTACTATATATATACTATAATACCATGTACTATACTACTATATATATACTATAATACCGTGTACTATACTACTATATATATACTATAATACCTGTCTCTTATACACATCTAGATGTGTATAAGAGACAGGCCATCAGCCACGGGACCAGCCATCAGCCACGGGACCAGCCATCAGCCACGGGACCAGCCATCACCCACGGGACCAGCCATCAGCCACGGGACCAGCCATCAGCCACGGGACCTGACCCACTTCTATGGCCCACCTCGCTCTCTCTGACCCACTTCTATGACCCACCTCGCTCTCCCTGACCCACCTCGCTCTCTCTGACCCACTTCCATGACCCACCTCGCTCCACCTGACCCACTTCCATGACCCACCTCGCTCTCCCTGACCCACCTCGCTCCTCTGACCCACTTCCATGACCCACCTCGCTCCCCCTGACCCACCTCGCTCTCCTTGACCCACTTCTATGACCCACCTCGCTCCTTCGACCCACTTCTGACCCACCTCACTCCCCTGACCCACTTCTGACCCACCTCGCTCCCCCTGACCCACTTCTGACCCACCTTGCTCCCCCTGACCCACTTCTATGACCCACCTCGCTCTCTCTGACCCACCTCACTCCCCTTGAGCCACTTGAGACCCACCTCGCTCCCCTTGACCCACTTCCATGACCCACTTTTGACCCACCTCGCTCTCGCGGGCCAGGCGCCGGAAGAGTTCGTCCCCCTGACCCACCTCACTCATGACCCACTTCTATGACCCACGCTCATGACCCACTTTTGACCCACCTCACTCTCCTGACCCACTTTTGACCCACCTCGCTCTCGCGGGCCAGGCGCCGGAAGAGTTCGTCGCCCTGACCCACCTCGCTCCCCCTGACCCACCTCGCTCCTCTGACCCACTTCTGACCCACCTCGCTCTCGCGGGCCAGGCGCCGGAAGAGTTCGTCCCCCTGACCCACCTCACTCATGACCCACTTCTATGACCCACGCTCATGACCCACTTTTGACCCACCTCCCTCTCCTGACCCACTTTTGACCCACCTCGCTCCCTTGACCCACTTTTGACCCACCTCGCTCTCGCGGGCCAGGCGCCGGAAGAGTTCGTCGCCCTGACCCACCTCGCTCCCCCTGACCCACCTCGCTCCTCTGACCCACTTCTGACCCACCTCGCTCTCGCGGGCCAGGCGCCGGAAGAGTTCGTCGTTATCAAACTTGTTCTTCTGGTCGGGGACGACGCGCGGCATCTTGAAGATGAGCTTGGGCTTCTGGGCCAGGCTGGGCCCGTGGTGGGCCCCCGTGTGGCCCAAGTGGGCACCCGCGTTGGGGTCGTACAGGGATGCCAACCCCGATGAGGCGCTGGGGTCGTAGTGGCCCTGCAGCATCGTCGTCATCATGGGGTCGGGGTTGTGTGAGGGTCGGGGTTGTGTGGGGGTCGACGGGGGTTGGGGGTCGTGAGAAAATTTTTCAGCGAAGTATCCTGAAGTATTCCTTCAACACAGAATAGCGAATAATTGCAGGATACTAAGGATTAAACGGTAATTTTTGTCCGTAGATATTCTGTCGTGCGCTGAAAGTTAGATTCACGTTCACTGAAAGCAACGATAATCACTAATTATTCACTTTCACTGACTCACTTCTTTTTTTGACACTTCTTACACTGACTCGATCACTTTTTGTGTGACTCACTTCTTCCTGTGACGCACTTGTGACTCACTTCTTTGAGTGACACACTTGCTTGGTTGTTCAACTTTTCACGCCTCGCCACTTTTACTTTGCAACGCAAGCGGAAGTGAAGCTCGCGCAACTTAATTTCGACGGCAGCTCATTAAGAATAGATCTATCACCTCATTAAATGCGAACAAATCACTAAAAAAACTTTCTGGAGCGAAGGATCTGGAATTATTCCTACAGGAATTAAACTCACGGCACAGGAATGGCTGAGGCTCGCCACACTAGAACAAAACTCGCACTTCAAGGCAGCGGAGCAGCAGCGCACCTCTCACAACGACGCGCGACGCGAAACTGAAACGCGAGCGAGTTTCGGCTCAACGTAAAACTTGGCTCACCTTCAGCCAGCCAATGAGAGCCAGCGTTGTAACTGACTCTTGGCGCGGCGACCAATCAGAGAACAGCAACCTTCGGCTCGAGTCTGAGCCAGATTTTCATACTCGGTTACTGAGCAGAGCGAATGGGCGGGGCGACTTGATTTCGACCAATCAACGCGCAGCTTACAAGCACGATAGGTTTATACTACGTGAAAAAAATCATCATGAGCGCTCATTGGTGCAAATTACTGGCGGTTCAGCCAATAAGAATGCTGGACATTGGCAAGAATTTTCATCAATAAATTTCGCAGTGAGCGAAGCTGCGCTTTATTAACGGAAGACTTCGACCCCGGCGCGAATTTTGGACCGCAACTTAATTAGTCTTACCTGTTCTTTCTCACCAAAAATCCCATGTAATCCCATTAAATTTTATTATACATGGCGTCCCACAAAAATGTTCCTGGCATGTCGCCTGATTATAGCTCCGGTTTAAATGAACATAAATTCTATTGTCTTGTTCTACGCTGTAGGATCTTTTTTAGTATATGAGGTTTTTTGAAAATTGCTTGTATAAACAGTTTTCTTTACTGATTTCTTTTCTTATTTTGTTTCGTACGAAAAAAAACAAACAAAAACGAACTTGAGAGGACAAATGAATCATTATTTTGAATAACCATTAAATAATTAGAATACTCTAGTACTTTAATTTGAAAATTGCGTTAATTGAAGCTGAGCTATAATCAATTAAACATTATATGTACGAAAATAATATATTATATATATATGATACACTATATATATACAATGTATTATTATACATTATATGTTGTAGAAAAATATATATGTATGTATGATTAATTAATATTTCCAGGATACTTTTTTCGTGTGCGGCTATTATCTTTCAATAATAATAATAATATTATTATAATGAAACACATAAATATTAAATATCATTAAACAAATCATTAATTTTACTAGAAAAACCTAAAAATTAACATCATTAAATAAATAGTATAAATAATAATAACGATATAATTAATTTGATTAATTTAATTAAGCACTGAGTAATTCTCTTAACTTAAAAATGTATCTTCGTTACATTCTAAACTTCTTTAATAAACTTAAATCATTTAATCAATTTAAATCGATGAATTCTGTAGTCATAAACCGCCCGTATATAAATATTCCTGTATATATAAATAAATATTTATATATATTGGCTAAAAACGAGACATTTAAATAATGGCATGAGCTTGGCCACATTATAATAATTTATACATATATTCTTTTAAAGTTTTTAGTGGTGAATATTCATTTAAAATAATCCAGGTTATATCCTACCTGCCTACATCCGCTGCGGTTTTGTTGGCCGCGATTTATGATCAATTTTTACAGGAATTTCTCTCAGTGATAAAATTTATAGAGTTTTTTTTTTTAACTGAAACAAATCGCGTGAGAAGATCCCCTGACACTCAGAGGAATGAGGGAGACGTTGTCCAAATGTGGGTCGCTTAATTGACACAGTTTGGCATGGCGTATCAGTGCTACGTCCGCTCGTGGCTATATAATACCGTGTACTATACTACTATATATATACTATAATACCATGTACTATACTACTATATATATACTATAATACCGTGTACTATACTACTATAATGGCGACATTAGTGCAGCATGACACTCGCTGTGTGGTCCGGTGACCACAAGTCACCACAGGTACCACATCGACCACAACCACCACACTTCCCATGACGTGTACACGTGAGATACGTGAGATACACGCGAGTGTTCCTCCATTGACGTATTTAGCGCCATTAGTTCAACGTAAATTAAAATAATGGCGACTTAAAACAAGCTAATGGCGACTTTAATGCAGTGTCCATTAGCGCAGGTCTGCGGTGTGTTGCCTGGCGACTCTTGATGTGTACTTGATGATCTTCATGAGTACTTGATGTGTACTTGATGTGTACTTCAATATTCTGATTTTTCTCAGGTGTCTTAATCTATAAATTTGTGTCTAGATGCATATATATGCATAATAGTCCAGATGTATACATGGATGTCTAGATGTATATATATGGGTGTATTTATGTACATTTATTCTGCTGTTGCTGCATATAAAGCATCAGTAGCGCTTTTTGTAAAGCTAATTAGTAACATTAACTAGAGTTTTGATTTTGTCCTATAGTTAATATTGTTTCAATGCTATATATAGTGAGAGAAAAGTGGTGCTATATCCTTTCTCTCTCTAGACAAGTGGTGCTATATCCTGTCTCTCTAGACAAGTGGTGCTATATCCTGTCTCTCTCTAGACAAGTGGTGCTATATCCTGTCTCTCTAGACAGTGAAATAGGAAAAAACGTTGATAACAAGTTAATTTCTTTAAAACAACGTTGATAACAAGCTGATTTCCTTAGAACAAAGTTAAACGTTGATAACAATTGTCAATTTCTTTAAAACAACGTTTATAACAAATTTATTTCGTTAAAACAACGTTGATAACAAGGTAATTTCTTCAAAACAACGTTGATAACAAGTAAATTTCTATAAAACAACGTTGATAACAAGTAAATTTCTATAAAACAACGTTGAAAAACAAATTGATTTCTTTTACTAAGTGTAATGATCATTTTCCATCATTAAACACCAGGTGTTACCCATGTCCTAATTAATGAAGTTAGATGGTCTTCAGTTATGTTGACTTGTTAACATGGTCGTTATGTGGCGATTATGCATGGTGACGGGCGTTGACAGGGTCCATAATTAATGGCCGTTGACAGGGTCCATAATTAATGGCCGTTGACAGGGTCCATAATTAATGGCCGTTGACAGGGTCCATCATTAATGGCCGTTGACAGGGTCCAT